AATTTCTTTTCATATGTGACCGAACAATTGCTACCCCAGAATGCACAACTGCTTTCTTCCAAAAATATGGTGATTGTTTTTCTCAGAACACCGAAGTGACTTTATGCCCCAGACAGGTGAACAAGGCCATCATTCCTACATATGCATACCATGTGTATGCATTTGTCCAAACACGATTAAGGCCAGAACATCAGCTGAACTTACATATGCTTTTGTACAAAGCATGTTGCAAGAACAAGAGGATATGTGACCTCCATTTGAACCTGGATGGTAGGTTATTTTTAAAAAGTACCTCAAAGAAAATGATGGCAGTGTGCCACCACTCCTCACTTTGGACTTTTCCACCTCCTCCCCAACAGTTTTTTCTCCAGCATAGGTTATTCACCTTACTCCCCTCACCCTCTACATGATACCTACCAGCTTGCCTTCATGTTTAGTCTTGTTAGAATGTATGGTCCTTGAGTGCAGGGACTCTCTCGATTGCTTATATTCACATTCCCAATGCTTAGTACAGTGCTTAGTAAACTGATCCTTGAAGGACATGACACGTGGCCTGTTCAACATTCTGGTTGGTCTTCTACTGACACTATGAAGTTTGTTATCATCCTTCATAAATTACTGTGTATAGAATTCAATATGGTCCTTTAGATGGAGTTTAAAGAAGAGGTCAGTGTATAGAAGGCCGATCTATCATCTAATTATTCTTGGGAGATGGACCCTTCTGTTGTCTAATCCTACTTTCTATATTTCCTGAATCCTGTACTTGTGAAGGTACCATTACAATCATCATGGTCATCATCATTGTCATCATTGTCATCATCACCATCATCATCATCATCACCATCATTATCATCATCATCATCTTCACCATCATCATCATCACCATTATCATCACCACCACCACCACCATCATCATCATCATCATCATCATCATCACCATTATCACCATCATCATTATCATCAAATTTGGGAAGTATATTCCAGAACATAAAGCTAGTTGTTCTTGAACCTGGGCCTAGCTAGGTTACTAGAAAACTTGAAAAGAGTAGAAGAGGGAAGCAGGGTGGGGAATACCCAGAGCCCTGTCTACTGGGTATGTTATGTTCCTAAAGATGCTAAAGCAGTTAACAGAAAATGAGCCTGCTTGCTTCTCTATGGAATAGCAGAAAGCAGAACTAGTGGAAATGGCTGAATTCACTACTACATGCGATTCTAGCAGTCAGCACACCTGAATGCCAGGTGACTAGGGGTGGGTCAATTTTAAGATATTAGGAGAAAGGATAGCTAAGTTCTTATCAGTTAAAACTTTATAGGGAAAAACAGCCCAGGAGAAATAAGAGGTTCTCATGGAATTCTAAAGAGGCAGATAGAAATAATTCCACTGTGGAGGAAAAGAAGTTGACTAATGAAAATAATAAGCACGCATGCAGGGCTGACCATTCAACTTTTCTTTAAAATAGAGCTTATGGTATGATCTGAAAACAGAATTACTTAGGAAAGAGCACCCTATGTAGAAAAAATGAATTCCTGGCAAAACTGGAAAGGGGTCTAGCAGAATTTAAAACACTATATACCATTTATCATATCACACACACACAAAGGATATTTGAACTCAATATTAAAGATCTTATAAAAATTTAAGTAATTTAGATCATGCACCTTTCATCTCTATGGCTAGTAAATTGCTAAGTAAACAAGGGGTAGCAGTGAATACAAAAAAGACAAAGGAGATAATTTTGATTATATGAAACTGAAAAAATTTCCTAATCAATAAACGTTTATTAAGCCTCTACTATGTGCCAGGTACTGTACTAAGCACTGGGGATACAAAAAGACTCAAAAAGACACTACCAGGTCTCAAGAAGTTTATAATCTAGTGGATAATGATGAATAGGACAGGAAAAGAAACAACCAACTGGGAAAAATAAAACATTTTGATAAGGGTCCAATATCCACGATACATAGGGAAATGATGAAGATAAACAGAGCAAAAGCCATTGAGTAGTGAAAGGACATGAAGGAATAGTTCACAACTATGCCGAAGGGGCTATAAAATTGTGCACACTCTTTGATCCAGCAATACCACTACTAGGTCTGTATCTGAAAGAGATCATAAAAAAAGGAAAAGGACCCACATTTACAAAAATATTTATAGCAGCTCTTTCTGTGGTAGCAATGAATTGGAAACTGAGGAGATGCTCATCAATTGGGGAATGGCTGAAAAAGTTGTGGTATATGGACGTAATGGAATATTATTGTGCTATAAGAAATGATGAGCAGGCAGACTTCAGAGAAACCTGGAAAGACTTTGATGAACTGCTGCTAAGTGAAGTGAGCAGAACCAGGGGAACATTGTATAAGGTAACAGCCACATTGTGTGATGATGAGCCATGATAGACTTATTTCTTCTTAACAATACAATGAGCTTAGACAATTCCAAAAGATTTATAATGGAAAATGCTATCCCCATCCAGAGAAAGAACTATGGAGTCTGCATTCAGACTGAAGCATACTATTTTGACTTGGGGTTTTTTTTGTTTTTTTCTTCCTTGTTTTTTCCTTTTTTTATGATTCTTCTTTCACAATATGACTAATGTGGAAATATGATTAATATAACTGTACATGTATTGCCTATATCAGATTGCTTGCTGTCTTGGGGAAGGGGAGAGCAAAGGGAAGAAGGGAGAAAAATTTAGAACTTATAAATCTTATAAAAGTGAATGTTGGAAACTATCTTTATATGTAATTAGAAAAATGCTATTAAGTGGAAAAAAGGAATAGTTCACAAAAGAATACATGAAAACTATTAAAAACCATATAAAATGTTCCAAATCATTAAAAAATAAGAGAGACATACATTAAAACAACCTTAGGTTTCACTTTGCATTCAGCAAATAGGTAAGGATGTAAAAAATAGAAATAGTCAGTTTTGGACAATTGTGGATAAACAGGAACATTTAAACACAGCTGGTGGGAAAATGATTTGGTCCAGAAATTTTGGAAAACAATGTGGAATTATGATAATTTTTTTTAAATTACTGATTCTATTTCTAGCCCTATATAACAAAGCGGTCAATGATAAAAAGATGGGCCCATTTACACCAAAGTATTTATATCAGCACCTTTTTTGGGCAATAAAGGACTTGAAACAAAGTAGATTTCCATTGATTGGGTAATGGCTAAACAAGTTGTGGTAAAGGAATGGAATGAATGGAATATTTCTGTGATTTAACAATGAACATATTCAATACTGAGGTGCTGTGAGGTTATATCTTATTGTCAGTAGACTGGAATAAATGACAAAAAACTGAAAACTGATTACAGGAAGGGCTTTTGAAGGACAAGAATAATAATATGCAATTACTGGAGCTATGAATTGGTTGGACCATTTTGAAAAGCAATTTGAAAAAATACTCCCAAAGTTGTCAAACCGTGTATATTCTCTGACCCAGCAATACCACTACCAGACTTACACCCTGAAAAGAAAAAAAAAGATGGAGTATAAGGACAAAGATGTACAAAAACCATTTTTTTATACCATTTTTAATTGGAGTAAAGAATTGAACACTGAGGAGGTATCCATTGGAGGATGGCTCATCAAATTATGGCATATGAATGTAATAGAATATTATCATACTCTAAGAAATGAAAAATGATAAGAGATTCAGAGAAACCTGAGCAGACTGTATCAACCAATAGAGAGAGAGAGAGAGAGAGAGAGAGAGAGAGAGAGAGAGAGAGAGAGAGATGAATAGAGGTAGAAGAACAATTTATTTAATAACTATGGTATTTTAAAGGGAAAGTATTTTGAAAGATTTCAGAACTCTAATCATTCTGGTGACTGGTAAAGACTACAGCAGACTGATGAGGAAGCATGATTTCTAGCCCTTGATAGAAAGATGGTGTATATGTATGTATGTATGCATATATATATATATATATATATATATATATATATATATATATATATATATATATATATATATATATATATATATATATATTGTTATTAGAGAAGGCTTGCCCTATCTGGAAGTGTAGGACTTGGGGAGGGAAGTGATAAGGTAGTAACAGTGATGCTAAAAAAAGGAAAAAGAAAAAAGGGATCAATGAAACACAAAATAGAGAAAATATAAAGAAATTCAGAAAGGGACAGACAAGCAGAGCCATATGGTCATGACCATGTTAAATTTAATATGTACTTAAAAAAACAATATACATGTAATAGATCCACAGTTTCATATACAATCTTTTCTTTCTGTCCCTTATTTGTGGAAATGCGCATATTTATTGCTATTTGACAAGTTCACTATATGTTTTATAGAAAAAACAGAACATAGAAAGAGTCTTTAAGGCATTGACCAAAAGTTAAGTCATCAGAAGCCAAATTGTGTAGACACTGGGCTTAATTATAGAATGCAAAGGTGGTCAGATGTGGCAGAACTTTTGGACAGACTTGGGGGGGTCCACAGACCAAAAAAAGTTTCATATCCTGTTTATTCATTAACTTTTATTTCCTTGTTAAATGCTAGGAATTCCAAGTAAGTTTCTACAATTTCTTTCACACATTTATTTATTTATTTATTTATTTATTTTTGTTGTCATATATTATTGTTTATAGTTTTAATGAAATCAATACTTTTTTTCTGAGAGGTACTTAGAAAAAAGTATCATCACATCCTTCATGCCTATTATGACCATTAAAAATTGAACATGTATAGACATATTCAGTGTTTCCTAACTTGCAAAGAAAACAAAACTTGATGGTTACAAACATTTTAAAGCAAACCGAAGTTTTGTTTTTGACTTAGATATCAGCCAGTGCCATATTAATATCATGATGAAATCCATCATAAACAGACAGTCATATCCAGTATAGTCATGGAATTCCACCATTCTTCTGCAGTATTAAGATTGTAACTACTGATGAAAACTGAAAGGGACAGCTGAGTTGTCTTTGATGAAACAGCAGAGAGATATAGGGTTGTGTCTGTACTTACCACAGTGAAATTCATCACTTTCAATATCCATATCGTCATGGCTAAGTTAACAATTGCAGTAACCAGAAGCAGGAGGACAAAAAAGTATAAGCACCTCTTCCTCCATCCATAAATTCCGACCGGATAAAATTGAGGATTCTCCGTTTGGGGCAGGTGATTCTGCTGTGTTGCCAATATGTACTGTTCTCGTGTCATCTGTAAGGGCGTAAAGACATCATCAGAAAAGAAAATCCGCAACAAGTTTCATGTGAGCAATTTGGAGTTTCTATAAAGTGGATCTCTATATCACGCTCAGAGTGAGTATCTGGCCCAAAGGTAACTCCTGAAGGGTGTTGGAATCAGTAAAATTGAAAACACTTGATACATGTCAGTGACTCTCACTATGATGATTATTCAGTTAGTATCTGTCACATTGCCTCAAACAATTAATATCACAGGCACTTTGGAGAAGTTCTATTATTTGACGATGGCAATTTTAGAAATTATATACAATTTCCAACTGCTGTTCTCTTCCTGTCCTGAATCTCAGAAATTAAAGAATTAAAGATTGTTTGAGTTGGAAGGGACTAGGAATCCCTAGTCAAATCGAGTTTTATTTAGAAGTGCAGAAGCTGAGTCATCCCAAGGAAGTAATTTACCCAGAATAGATCATCAGGCAGAGATGTGACCAGAACCTAGATCTACTGACTTCTAGTGTAGTTTTCTTTCCTTTTGACCACACTGCCTTGATGGAGCATTTACTCCTGTCCCCACCATCCTCTAAAAATCCCACCATGTTAACTATGGCAGAAGAACTAGTATGTCACACTTCTCCTAGGGATATCACCACCCATATTTGCCCAACCTCCTGGGTAGGTATTGATTAACAATACGTCCAATGCATAAAGGTCTATCTCCAATCAATTAGCATCTATTAGCTCAGCACAGGACATACAGATACAGCTAACTATCTCTAAAATGAGGAATCATGACAATTTATTTTCATACAGATTGACATATTAACGAAAAGAATGAAACTGGCTCTCATGGAACTTCCATTTGGAGGGCAGGAAGAGACAATAGACATTCCCTTATTCTGTAACAAGTAGGTACAGAATAAATACAAGGCAGCTAAATATAAGGTTCTTTGGGGGGCACTATGAGCTGGGGGGAATAAAGAAAGACTTCAGGCAGAAGGTAATGATTGAGAAAGATTGCAAATGAAGAGAAGGATTCTGAGGAGCAGGTGAGGAGGGCAAGCTTCTTAGAGGAATAAGTTGAAATAGGTACAAGAAAATCATCTGAGTATCCATAAGAAGCACTGGGGGGGGGGAAGCATCTATCCCAGTTTGTGTGTACAGCATGAAACACCAGAGGGCTTTTTTGTTGCTCTTGTAATAATGATGAAAAAGGTGATAAAATACGAGGCAAAGCTAAAATTTAATGGCACTTCACCATAGATTTTTAGTTGTATTTCAGTTTTGGTTATGTCAGAAAATAAACTCATTTTTGCCTTTAATTATAATAACAAAAAAGAAGATAATTATCAAACTGAAAGGAAATTTTAGTAGTGTTTTTGCATGAGTATAGAAAGTAACCCATTGAGATATTTCATATTCTCAAATGGACAACTAAACCCATTATTTGATGTCTTAAAACTATGTGGCAGGGGGCAGCTAGCAGGCACAGGAGATAGAGTGCTGGGCCTGTAGTCAAGAAGACTTATCTTCCTGAATTCAAATCCAGCCTCAGATACTTACTAGCTTTGTGACCCTGAGCAAGTCACTTAACTTTATTTGCCTGAGTTTCTTTATCTGTAATAAGCCAGAGAAGGAAATGGCAAAACCCTCCAGTATCTTTGCCAAGAAAAGCCCAAGGGGTCCTGAAGAGTTAGACATGACTGAAAAATGACTGAACAACTACCTGGCCTTTTCCATAAGACAAGTCAAAAGAATATTTAATGGGAAAACGTTTTTCAAAATATTCCACTTACCACCTTGAAAGATTGGCTCCCTTGACTATTTATGAAATGTTTAAAAATTTTAGTTCTTCAAAATCAGAGGACCATTACTTTCTATTTTTTCCTTTTACTATCACCTCAGCAAATCTCAAGTCTAGCACAATTGCCAATTCCACCTCCGTGATGACTCTCCCAACGAAGAGGAGAAGGTGTGTGTCCAGTAAACGTACCTGAAAAATGGCATGAGCCTGAGTGACGTTTGTGGCACAGGCTGAATGTCAGCGAGTTAGATACTTGCATTTCCTTGTATGTTTTTCAATTTTAATTTAGGTTTATACCTGAGAACTCCAACAACATTAGCAAACCCTTAAACATTTAATCTTGTTTCTTTGTCTTCCCAATAAAAGGAAGGAAAAGTATGCAAGAAAGGAAAGAAGAAAAGATGACAGGAAGGAAGAAAGCACACATTCATTGAGAGCTTGCAGTGTGCCAGGCACTGTGATCCACACAGAAAAATAGCTGATCCTTCCAACAATGAGGGAGGTGCTGTCATTATCCCTATTTTACAGAAGAAACAGGAAGCAGAAAGCAGAAACAGAAACAGAAGCAGAAAAGTTAAAGGACTTGCCCAGGGTCACACAGCTAGTAAATGTCTGAGCTGGATTTGAATTCAGGTCTTGCTAACTCCAGGCCCAATACTCTATCTCCTGAATAAATGAATTATGGAAAACCATGTAGTGTTAACAAAATCAAAAACTAAATAAACTAATAAACAGAACTCTGTATTGGTGGGGACCTTGCCTCCAAACCAAACATTAGTCACCTGCCTACTAAAACTAGGAATTACTTTCAGCTAGAGATACGTTCTTGCAAAATTGGGTTCTCAACATGGTAAAAATGACAATGCTACATAATTAATTTATGCATTCAGTACCGTGCCAACAAAATGGTATTTTGTGAAGCTAGAAAAAATAATAAATTCACATGGTGGAAACAGTCTTAAAGTTAATATTTTTTTTTAAAAAAAAGGAGGAAGGAAGGATGTCTAGTAATAGTGTCTGACACTAGATTACAAAGCAATAATAATTAAACATCATTCAGTACAAGTTAAGAGAAGTTTGATCAGTGGAACAGATTGGGTACACAATCTACAGAAAAAAAATCTACAGTAAACAAGGTGTTTGAGAAACACAAAGAACCAATTTGCTAGAAGATGGACTTGTTATTTGACAAAAACCTACTGGGAATACTAGAAAGTGATTTGGCAGAAACCACCTATAGCCTCACATCCCCCACTGTGCACCAAGAGAAACTCCAAATGGATGGATAACCCAGACATAGAAGATGACATCATAAGCAGATTAGAAGAGCAAAGAAGACATAGCCTTTGAATTCTTTGGATGGAGAACTGTTCACAACTAAAGCAACAGACAGGATCAGAGGAGATAAAATCAATACTTTTGATTATGTAATTTTTTTTGCACAAACAAATCTAATGCAGTTAAAATGAGAGGTCAAAAAGGTAACTGGGAGAAAAATTTTGGCAGTAAGTTTTTTCAATAAAGTTTTTATAAGATATGTAAGGAACTGATTCTAATGAATAAGACTGAGTCATTCCCCAATATGCAGTCAAAAACATCATTGTTTTCAAAGGAACAAATTTAATCTGTGAATAACCACATTAAAAAAAACATTCCAAATTAATAATAATTTTATTATTTAGTCATTTTTCAGTCATATCTGACTCTTAGTGATGCCATTTGGGGTTTTCTCTGCATAGATACTGGAGTGGATTGCCATTTCCTTCTCCAGCTCATTTTACAGATGAGGAAACTGAGGCAAGCAGGGTTAAGTGAGTTGCTCAGGGTCACACATCTAGGAAGTGTCTGAGGCCAGATTTGAACTGAGGAAGATGAGCCTTTCTGACTCCAGACCTGGTGCTCTATCCACTGTGCCACCTAGCTGCCCATCTATATACACATACATACACACACTTGTTATCAGGAAAACCTGAGTTCAAATCCATCTGTCAAGTGGGGATAATAAGGTCAAGTCCTTCCATGGGCTGTTCTGGGGATTAATGAGATATGTATAAAATGCTTTGAAAATCTTAAAGTCCTATGTAAATACTAGCTATTATTGTTGTTAACCATAAAAGCCATTGCTAACCTGAAGCCAGCAGTATCAGTGGTCACATACTTGTCCCATGATTAATGAATTGTGAAGTTAGAGACATTACTTTGGGTAAATAATCCTGGTGGCCAGGTGCTAACGGTCACAGTTGTGTGGGGATTACTTGTGTCCAGAGAGCCTTCCCTTTGTTTCCGTTATGTAGGAGCTTGATAGATTAATTAGGAGATGAGAGATCAGGAATTAGGGAGACTTAGGTTGATCTTAGCTCAGAAAGTCATTATTTGCATGCCCTAGGACAGTATTAGTCACAGCTGTCACCATAACAAATACTCAGGAGCTCCGATCCACACAGAATGAAATTCTTTCGAAGGACAGTGAGATGAGGAGATGCAAATCATATGGGAGCAGGAGGTGGTACATAGCAGTCTAACATTCTGTCTGCACCTGGATTTCTCCTGGGGATAGTGGAGAGAAGACAGCATTGGACTTGTCCTAAAAATGGATGCCAAACACTTAACTCAGAAATTTGATGCAAAGAGGAGTCTCCTCTGGGATCTGAGCTGTGTTCAAGGTTCCAATGTGACATAAATCACTTTCAGTTCCATTCAGTAAATCCAGTAGTCTGTATGTGTTACTAGCTTTTACTCTTCCTCAGTGCAGTGATTTCTACTTGTCCCAAAAGTACTTCTGGTGGTTTTTGGCCAGTTTATCACATACCCTAAGAATGTTTGTCAATACTTATCATCCTTCCTGGTAGGGAAATGTTCATCTTTCTGTAGCCACCTTAGGCTGGTGGCCCCAGTGTCTTCGAATATTGTATTCATTAGGCTTTCATTTTCATTAGTTTCATTAAGATTCTTTACAAATCTGTTGGGGTCCATTTTACAGTCTGAAAGTGAACATGGAGTAGGATGAAATTCAATGACCCTATGTGATTCTGGAGACATCCTGAAGAGAGAGGATGGGCTCAATATGCAGAATAAGATGAGCATCTTTGGATGTTACATTTGTGCAAATTTGTTTTGCTTAATTATGCATGTTTGCACCAAAGTTGTTTTTTTTTTCTTCACTTTTTCATTGGTTGAGATTTGAGGGAGAGAAAATAAATGCTCATTAATTGAAA